GTATTCTGTCACCAGGAGGGTGCCTCTGGCAGTGTGCTGTATAGACCACAAAATAGACTGCATGGATGAGCTGAAAATACACCGGGCTCTATTTTTATTATTTATTGTGTCTGTTTCTGGAAAAACCTTTAGTGCAATAGATTTTTAAATCTATAAAAACCAGTAGCATCTGATTATCTCACTTGAGATAAATATAAAATAATTTAGTCTCCTTCATGATCTTTAAAAGCTGGAGAGTTCTTAAGAAAATGGCTGCTTGAATTTAGGAAGAAGTGATGCAGAAAGCAATGCTACATATTTACATAGTAATGCTTATATTCTTATAAGCGTGTTGTAGTTCACAAAATTATCTCAGTTGTTGGGAGAGCAGCTTTTTTCCCCCTCCTTCTTCTTTTGTTTTTTTAAAGTGACTGTGATATTAAAATCTGTAAATCTGCATAAGGCCATCCAAGGGCACTATATGTTGACTTTTAAAAAATAATATAATCCTTTACTGTTACAAGAGGTAAGAACTGGTAAAAGATTATATGATCAGTTTCTTCCCTGTCTTCATAGAGTATTTAAAGACGACTGTCTTAGAAATGCCCCTAGACTGGCTCTTCAGACGTATCTGATTGCAGTTTTTCTTTGGTACAGCTAGCATTAATTGTTGTGGCTGCTGTAATCTGAAGACTAAGGCAAATGCAAACTGAAAGTGGTGAAGATTTTTGCCCTAAAACTTCATGATCACAGCTGATAGGGTTACCTTCCTAAGTAAAATTCTCTTGAATGATGGTACATTTTTGCAATGATGTCTTAAGTTCTCACAGGTGGTGTAGTAAATACTGAATCCTACAAAATGCAAGGGAGGAGTGCACTGATTCATACAAGTCCCTGTTTCTTCTCTTGCTTTTTCTCTGTATTCTGAGCAGTAATGTATGGAGTATCCATTCTTGGTGTTATAGAGCACTTTTTTTGGTTTAGTCTTGATTTTCATTATGATCCTCCTAACTTTTCTGTGTATTTCCGTTTTCAGACACAGCTACAACAGTAATGATTTGTAATGTCTGTTTTTTTCCCAAGGAACCCATGTTGCTGAGCTAACTAAAGAAAATGCAAGGGATCTTTTCTCACACCTTTGTGTGAGTTAAAATGAGCAAAATCTGTATCATTCACCTGTCTATGAGAATGGCGAATCACACATCAGTGAGTGAATGAAATTAAACAGGTGCAGACTTAGAAGCAGAAACTAATACGACGTTGGCAGACACACAGCTTCGTGTTGTAGTTATATGATGCTTCCCTGCTGCTACTGTATGATGTCAGTAAAATTAAATACCAACTGTGTTTTGTCATTATCTATTCTTGGGGGGTTTTTTTAAGTGAAATAAGAGCTTTCATAGAACATAATTTTTAAAGTAAGTTTCTTTTGAAATCTAATGAGAAATGTTAAACACATATCACTCTCATGTTCACAGGTTACTTCAATGAACGCTTTTGTTGGAAGACATAGGGCAGCGATCCACTACTAGTAAATTCGTCCTGTGGTCTACGTTTGCTGTATAAGACCCTGATGAATAAATGTAATGCAGATGCAAAGAGAATTGATACGATTCTTTTGAGTGTGACTGGATCATCTCCTACAGAAATAGACAGGAGGCTCAACACAGAGTGCTGCTAAGACTTAGTGAACTTAGTGTCCAGTTCTGGCCTGTGCTTTAAAACTAGAAAGCCTTCAGCCAATTTCTTGAATACATAGTATCTATGAAAACCTCAAACACTTTGATCTACTTATGCAGGAAGGTTAAGAGAGGCTCCGTTCATAGCCAGGTGCCTGGAGAGGGACTTGAATTTTACAGGACTTTAACCTAATATTACACTATCCCACAGTCAGGGGTGGAAGTGAAAGCAAGACAAAATGCATTACTTTTTAACAGTGAGAGTACCTAACATTACTATGAGTTGTCTTAGTTCTCACTACCCCCCAAATGCTTGAGTTTGTATAATACAAATAAAATTGTCTTCATTCTGAACTACTATACTGTGGTCTTGGACCTAAAGAATGCAGGTTACCTCTGTATGTGCTGAAATATCATGGAAGGTACTGACTTCTGACTGCACATTAATTTTTTTTTTTCCTTCACCTCTGCTAATTCTATAAAGAGTTGTTACGTGAATTAAAGTAGTTACATTCTCATTGCTCTGGGAAGCAAAACTTCCGTATGACTGTCTCATTAACTGTAGAGATAATTTTTTTTCTTTAGAGCATACAGTGGATGTACCCAAAGTTAATTTGTGCTTTAGAGTACCTTTCTGCTTCAGTTTAATGCTACTCGCCTCACCCCAAAAGAGAAGAGGTTAGGGAGACATTTCAACTTGGAGGAAGCTGTTAAAAAATTGGGGGGTTCTTATTAGCCTTTTCAGACTGTAGTGATCTTCCAGGACTGTTTCAGAAATACTTCAACCATAAATCATACTGTCTTGAAAGAGCTACTGGCCTGCCAGCATTGATGAATAATTGAGTATTGTTATGGTACAGTACCCTGCTGAAGAATATTTTGGTTAATTCTACTGGAATTTGATTATGGAACTGCTAACTTCGTTCTGTGTACAAATAGCATAAAACCTTCTTGTGTATGGGAATGTAATCTAAAGATTACTTCTATTTTCTAGATAGTGACATTGGGGATTTATGTGAATAAATAAGATCGTTCTTCTTCTAACCATTATTCATCAATAAAACATTGCTAGTGGTGCCTGCTTCTCTGTCATGTGTAATGCCCAGATTTTTCCCTGGGTCTTGGCTTCCCAAGTCAATGCAAGAAAGTTGGGGTGCCCTGGTACTAACCCCAGCAAAATTACTGCAGTCTCAATGCTGTTCCTGCTATGTGTGGTGTTCGTTGGCAACCTCGTTGGTTCCAGGACCTCTTTAACTAGAGCTTTCAGAGTTTGGCTGAAAGCGAAGGAAGGGTTCCCTTCTGTCAAGTGCTGCTGCTGTTCAAAATTCTTGTTATTTAACCCCAGCTTTCTACAGATGTTTTCAAGATCACAGGAACCATGCGTCTTGAAAGGAAGAAGCTCAGGTGGAAAAGTAGTCACAACAAGTGCGTGCTGTAGGTTGTTCACTTTCTTTTTTGAGAGCAGATGGGTATAGAAACTCGTTGTCCACTGCTTTTTGGGCTGTGTTTTGTGTACTTGATCTGTTTGTTTGCTTTCAAAGCAATACTGTGTGTTCCCTTGATCCCTATTTCTGGTTTTTACTGCTTATCTGCTACCCTGACAGCCAGACTTACAGACCTTTAACTCCATCATCCTCTCCACTCGCTACCAGGATTTGTGCCGTTTACTCCTAACATTTTAAAGAAAATAAGCTTGTTTCCCAAAAGAAAGATGAAACAACTCTGAGAACGAGGATATAGAATTGCTTACAGATATATATGCCTATGGAGATAATTAGATGTTCTAACAGACTTGTGATATGCAAGGATTGCTGAGGATCCCTTTCCTCTTGGTGTCCCTCTCTGGTTCTCATGCTTTCTCTGGTATGTGTTCACAGTCTCTTTTCAATGTGTGGCCATGTCCTAGGAAGTATGAATTCAACTAGAGATGCTAAGATGCCATGATCAAAAGAATATTTTTTTTTTTTCATGGTAAGGCATAAAATGTTCATCATCTTTCTACTCAGGTGCCTATCCTTAATTCATTCCTCCTGTCTGGAGTAATGTTAGTGGTGACAGTTTGTATTTTAATATTTTGTCTAGGACTAAGTTGTTCTCCATTTCACTGAGTAAGAACCCTTAGGGAAGTGTGGGGCAAGGAGGAAGGCTACTTTCTGTATATGACAAACTTTCTGTACGTTCTAGACACAAAAAAGAGGAGTAATTTCTGATGGGATTTGAGGGAGGCTTGACCAAGATCTGGTTCTTTAGCTCAAGGATCCGAAATTATGCAGGAATGACAAATTATTGCTGGTGGGGACTGGTCATGTAGTTTGTACACAGTCCTCAACCCAGGTAACTTGTCAATTCATGTCACTTCAGGTCAACAAAAGCTCTTCCTCCACTTAGCAAAGAGAAGCTTAATCAGGAATGTCCTGAAGTTGCATCTGTGCATAGCTCATGGGCCCCACAATTAAAGGTGGTGGCCTGTGTTGGGTTTGTAAGGAAGCCTCTGCCCTGTCAAATGAGAGGGAAGCTGACAAACGTGTAGCCTAACCGCTGAGGCTTCTGTCTTCCCAACGGAGTGGATGCATCTGCTAGGGACGTGAGCAGCGCTGCTCTGCACAACACGCAGGGATGCTCAGAATAACAAGGTTGATCTTGCCACGCAAGCACTCCACTGTTAGACTGGGGTGGGTTGGTTTGTTGTAATGTTTGATCTCTGACCTACGTCTGACTAGAATCAGCTCACAAGCTCTGAATCATTTTATAGCTTTGTTTGCTGAATAAAAGAACTGTTCTGCCAAGGCTATCTTTGTATAGATGACTGTGATCGTATCACTTCAGCTAACCACCTTTTAGTCCTTATTTCCCTCATCAGATATAAGAGCATATAAAATGTCTTTTCCCCTGCGTTTACATAACAACTGTAAAAACTCAAATGAAGTCTGGTTTACCCATTTTAATCTATGACACACTGGTAACTTACAGAACATGTTCAGCAACTCTGATAACCTGATTTTGAATGCTCTGTGAGAGTTTTTGACAGTTTTCTACATCAGACATGTTAGTCAAGTCAGGAAGCTGGCTGTCGTGTTTCTCTGCTGAAAATAAGTTCCATTTATGAACATTATGAATGTTAGTTTTAAGTGACTGTCCACTGATATAGCTTCAGTTCTTCCTTGTAGGCTTTTTATCATATTCCTACCTGTTGATTTTGTTTTTAGAGTGCCTGAATTTTCATAATTTGATTTAAATTGTTCATATGTCCCATTACAGCATGTAACATAAGACATAAATAGGAAAAAAAAAATCCACTAGTATGTTGTGATACATTGGACATACTTCCTGCATCAGAAGTCAATGGATGATCTTGAGATCTGTTTGTTCAATTGGAAAAGCAGGTATGGTGGCAATATTATGTGTTTAGACTTCTGCATTAATAAGAACAAGAATAGCAATAAAAGTCTGAAGATTCTTGGGCACTTGATTAGGGGCCCAGTCTTGGAAATGTAAGGTGATGTCTGCTACAGATAGACACTCAGAAGGGGACAAGTGTGTGTGTGCTTTTTATGATAATGCTCTGAAAAACTGGTAAAGTGTTTTTCTTTAGATCTTGTTCTGAAATGTATACATTTCTCTAAAGCCTCTTGGAACATCCTTTGCCAGTGTGTCAGGCAAGTTTGAGTAACCCATGGCTTTTGAGTTAGGTTAGAATTTAAATGTCAAGTCATTCTAGCCAGGAAGTTACTGCTGTGTCAGATAAGCTTCAAAGTTCACATCATGGTTTATTAAAAAAAAACAAACCAAAAAAACCCCAAAAAACCAAAACAACAACAACAAGACACTAAAATCACAAACGGAAGTGTTAAAAAAAATTGAAAGTCTACGGGTGGCTCAAACACTTTTCCTTCAAATGCTGCCTTGCATATTGACACAAATTGATTATTATCTGGGAACCTCTGACACACTGGGTAAATAGTTTGGAATTGAGTCCACACTTAAATGTTTTTTTTCACTAGGATTTCCTTGTTTTGTGATGTGAATATTGAAGGATTGATTTTTACTTTTTAAAAATAATTATTGAGATTATTTTCTAAGAAGGTAAATGTTTAAACAGAAGTGTCACTGCTGTAGTATATTCATCTCCTCTGAAATAAATTTGACGTATCTAGACCTAAGAAATGTTTTTTTAAAATAGTTCCGTGCATGTGTTTGCACACACACACACACACACGTGCGCGCGCCTGTGGCTTTTCTTGCAGGTTTTTCAAACTTCATGAAGGACCTTCCAAAAATCATTCTTGGGCAATTTAACAGTGCAGTTCCCTGCAAGTATTGATGTAGTATCTGGCTTGAAGACCTACTAAAGGCTCTGAAGTTTTTAACTTGCCTAGTGACTATAAAATTAATATTCTTTTGGGAGGGTGGGGGTATTGTTCTGCAGTTCTTACGAGGGAGTGAAATTGCGAAGTTCCTTTTAGGACATAGACTGTCCCAGGGAGCTTGTGATGTGTTATGAGCAATTGAATTGTGAATGTTGCAGAGGGATAATTCAAATTATAGAAATGCAAGAAATGGGTGGATTAAGACTCTACTTTTTGTATTATATCAAGTATTTATACCAACTGTTTTGTTGTAACACACCTTAAGCAGATCAAAGTGGTGATTTAACTTCAACACGTGCAAGCATTTATTTTTGAAATGGAAAACTGTATTCATTCTCAGTTGTAAATCTTCTCGTTTTTCTTTCAGATTACTCTTTACATCAGTAGAAATGGACAGCAGCAGTTTCATTCAGTTTGATGTGCCCGAGTACAGCAACACTGTTCTGAGCCAGTTAAATGAACTCCGCTTGCAAGGAAAGCTATGTGACATAATTGTGCATATTCAGGGTCAGCCATTTCGAGCCCATAAAGCTGTCTTAGCTGCCAGTTCTCCGTATTTCCGTGACCATTCAGCATTAAGCACCATGAGTGGCTTATCAATATCAGTTATTAAAAATCCCAATGTTTTTGAACAGTTGCTTTCTTTTTGTTACACTGGAAGGATGTCCTTACAGCTGAAGGATGTTGTTAGTTTTCTAACCGCAGCTAGCTTTCTACAGATGCAGTGCGTCATTGATAAATGCACACAGATACTGGAGAGTATTCATTCAAAGATCAGTGTTGGTGATGTTGACTCTGTCACTGTTGGTGCTGAAGAAAATTCAGAAAATCGCAATGGAGTTAAAGACAGCAGCTACTTTGCCAATCCTATTGAGATATCTCCCCCCTATTGCTCTCAGGTGCGACAGTCAACAGCAGGCAGCGATCTTAGGATGGAAACTACTCCAGGCAAAACTCTACGTAGTCGTCTGCAAGAAGAAGGGCATTCAGATCGAGGAAGCAGTGGGAGTATCTCTGAATATGAGATTCAGATTGAAGGTGATCATGAGCAAGGAGACCTGATAGTAAGGGAAAGTCAGATTGCAGAGGTGAAGGTTAAAATGGAAAAGTCTGACAGGCCAAGCTGCTCCGATAGCTCTTCCCTTGGTGATGACGGATATCATACTGAAATGGTGGATGGAGAGCAAGTGGTGGCAGTAAATGTTGGTTCATATGGGTCTGTCTTACAGCATGTTTATTCGTTTACCCATGCCTCATCACAGGCTACAGGTGTGTCTGAAACCTTCGGAAGCCTGAGCAATACAAGTCCTTCAAGGTCAATGCTGAGCTGTTTCAGAGGGGGTCGTGCACGCCAAAAACGGGTATCCACTGGGCACTTGCATAGTGATGTTCAGGGCTTGGTGCAAGGGGCTGACAGTGAATCCATGGTGAGTAACCCAGGATATGAAAATAGTCCGCGGGAAAGAAGTGCAAGAGGTCACTGGTATCCATACAGTGAGAGGCTAATTTGTATTTACTGTGGAAAGTCTTTCAACCAGAAAGGGAGCCTTGATCGACACATGCGATTGCACATGGGAATAACTCCTTTCGTGTGCAAGTTTTGTGGGAAGAAGTATACCCGCAAGGACCAGCTTGAGTATCATATTCGTGGTCACACAGATGACAAGCCTTTTCGCTGTGAGATCTGTGGAAAATGTTTTCCTTTCCAGGGCACGCTAAACCAGCATTTGCGAAAGAATCACCCTGGGGTAACAGAAGTAAGAAACAGGGTAGAGTCTCCAGACAGAACAGAAGCGTTTGTGGAACAGAAAGTAGATAATGATGCTTCAGCTTCTGAAGCTATGGATTCTAGTATGGAAATTCATGCAATGTCTAACACATCTGATTAAAATATTACATTTGAAGTGCAACACAAACAAGCACATCACTAATGTATTTTTAAAATCTTTTATTCTTTTAGTAATCTTCAGTACAAGTATAACAGCCTTTTAATTTTCCTGACCTTCTGGAAATCAGTTTGAAATGGTTTCTGGAGAAGACTACATAAGTATTCTTTGTTTTTGAAGGAGGCTGGGTTGTTTGGGTTTTTTTTACTTTTGAAGATGCTCAAAATATGAAAGACAGTGTGCTGGGGAAAAGATAGGAAGAGTCTGCTAAAGTGTCCCTACTGGTGGATCTGGCAAGACACAAATTCCAGTGGAGAAGGATATTAGAATAAGATTGGCAGCTCTGCTGGATACACCAAGAAGCTGTAATCTCCCTTATTTTATTTCCTAAATCCTGTTGCTGGTAATGAGTTACACAGCAGTGGGGGGAGAGAATATTATAGCTTTGATTCCTTCTGTGTGTCATGATGAAATCTGTTTGCTTTTACTAACTGTTTTTGGTAGTTAGTCCATTTATATATATAAATTTGCTTTATATATATAAAATGCTTTCACTTTTCCTATTCTGGTTGAGGTGAATGTAAAAGTATGTCAAGGTTTATACCATGTACCACTCTTTCAACTGCTAGGTCTCCTCTCTGCTTAGGATTTAGGACTTC